ATGCTAGCTCAGTTTTACCAGTATAAACAGCTTTCACTACTTAATTTCACCTGCTGGATTGACAAATGTTACGTTTCCAAAAACAGAATCCAAGAAAGAACATTGAGGAGCATAGTGTTAGCATATTGTGCAATGTACATGAATTTTGCAATTAGGTAGGGACAGTTTTGTAGTTTCTAGACTTTAGAGGTTGATTTACTAAAGGAGCTGAGTACATTCACACAATACATTGTTTCACTATTCACTTTAATTATGTAATCATGTAAAAAGCAAATTCCTGTTCACTTATTTCATCTGCACAAGTGAAGTGGATACTTACACATTTATTGTGTGAAGATTTTCAACTGCTTTAGTAAATTGGCCCCGCATTATAATGACATTCATATGCACCTACATACTTATACACCATCAACATACACCACATATTTAATGTGTATCTACAACTTGACTGAAACAAACAACTGACTGAGCCAGGTAGAAAAGTATTGCAACACAATTGTATAGCCATGGCACCCTAAATACATTGGAGATTCCTCCATCCATGCTCTTAGGGGTCTATTCACTAAGCTAACGTAGGCAGCCGAGTGACTAACCGACCCGAAGCGAAGTGAGCCGAACGCTGTTCGGCTATTCACTTCAGGCTGGTATGGCTGATTCCAGCCATATTGTGGCTGAAATCAGCCGTACATCGGGTGGCTTCAGCTGGCTTCGGGTCGGCCGAACATGCTGGGCATGTTCGGCTGACCCAAAGTGCAGAAGGAGTTCGACTCAGCCGATCCAACATCTGGATCGGCTAAGCCGAACCTCCGGCAGGCTACTCGCTGCTGTTCGGCCTATTCTCATAGATGCCGAACAGCAGTGAGTGAATAGCCGAATGCCGCCGAGCAGAATAGTGGTACCGAGCAGAATAGAAAAACAAGAAAGACAACAGAGCAGGGAAAGGCAGAGTAAAACTTTCCGGGAGAAAGTGTTTCTGTCCCGGGCGGCCGGGAGCCGCTATCTAATAGCAGGAGACTCCCAAGGCGTCCGGGAGAGTTGGGCTGTCTGAAGATCAGCGTCCCTGGTTACCTGGTAACCAGGGGCGCTGATCTGTCTGTGCAAGTGCCTGGAGCCAGCCGTGAGATGACGGCTGGCTCCACCCAGCAGTCAGTAGCAGGCTGTCGGCCGGCCAATGGCCGGTCGTTCGGCCAGATTCTGCCTTTACCTCGGCTCAGTCGAGCCGAAGCATATGCCTCGGGAGCTTCGGGAGCTGTATAGCTGTATAGTGAATAGCCCGTACAGCAGCCCTTCGGTTCTACTGAGCTGAAGGGGTCCTGGGGCCAAAGCTAGCCGAAGGATCAGCTGAAGCTACGGCTAGATCCTTCGGCAGCTTTATGAATGGACCCCATAACCTTCTACAGCAAAGGTATGATTTTGTGAACGGAAAAAAGCTATTTGTGATAAATAACATTTTTCTACTACTTTATAACACACACAGGGACCATGGGGAACAAAAGTAGCTGAAGTACTGAACCGAAGGGGTCCTGGGGTCGAAGCTAGCCGAAGGATCAGCTGAAGCTACGGCTAGATCCTTCGGCAGCTTAGTGAATAGACCCCTTAGTGTGGATGGATATCAAATCGTTTTCTCTCTGTTTCTTGTGGGCTAAATGGCCGAAACTGAAATTTGTTTGCTAATAAAATACTTGGAGTCTTTTTCAGTCTTGCTGATCTCCTGAAGCCTTTTTGCAACTACTTCCTCTCCATATACATACACTCCAGTGATGGCTGTTGGCATTTCTCGAATGGTTTTCCCAATGGTGACAACTGTGGACTATGGCTGCATAATATGTATTGAAGCCTGTGCAACAGAGAAGGAGCACAATTGGGAGACAGACTACAGATTGTAGTCACCCTCTAGAAGGAGGTGCCTGAACAAGGACCATCATGGCAGGATCATCAGGTACTCTTTTAAAGATAACTGAAGATTTAAAGCTGAACTCTAGGTAGGCATTATTATGCATACTTACATTGATTTAGCTTGGCCCATGTAAGTATGCATATGTATTACCTGATCGGCAATATAGTAGCCATAGCTACTACACTGCCAGCCGCGATCTTCTGGGTTCTTGTACTATGCTGTGCTGAGTGACTTCCCCTCTGCTCTCAATACACAGGGGGTCCCTTCCTTGGCACAGAGGCTATTCAGAGAATGTTTAATATTGTTCTCAATGAATACAAGGCATTCTCTGACTGGACGAGGAGCAGATCATTACATTACCGACCATCACTCGCTCGGCACAGTGGCCATTCAAAGAACACCTTGTATTCATTGATAAAAATACTAGGTGGTCTCTGAATGGCCGGTGTGCCAAGTGAGCCACCCTCCTGTGTATTGAGAGTAGGATGGAAGCTACTCAGCACAGGACAGTGCCCGGACCCAAAAGACTGCAGCCAGCACAGTAGTAGCTCTGGCTACTTCAGTGCTTTCCACGATCCCCAGCGGCCAATCAGGTATGGCATATGCATACTTAAAATGGGCCAAGCTGGACCAGTGTAGGTATGCATAATAATGTAACATGCTAAAGCTTAAATAAAATTTTAGTGATTGGGTTTACATATATTTTAACTACGGAGATTATTGCACTGTTACATAAAGGCATCTGCCAATTCCCAAATACCCTTTGCTGACTGCTGGACATATCCTAAACACATTACATTTACACATGTTTAGTAAACATTCAGTTGTCACTGAACAATTACACATTGGACAAAGTAAGGGTTATATATTCTTGGCAATTAAATATGTTGCCCCTTAACATGGGATTGCTTCAATTTCAGACTGAAATGGTTATTAATATTATACAGGATTTATATAGCGCCAACAGTTTGTGCAGCGCTTTACAATATAAGGAAGACATTACAATCACAATACAAATCAAGACAAGATGGTAAGGAGGGCCCTGCCCCTGAGGGCTTCAGCAAGTAACATCTATCAATACCAGGCCCTAAAAGGAAAAAGCTACATATTTGCCATATTTACATTGCAAGTTCAGGTTTCACATTTACAATGTAACTATAATGTAACCGTTCACTCCGTGAAAATATAATACAATGTGTTACCAAACAATCACACCCATTGTGTTTTCAGAGTTTAGTATCATCTCTTTAGATTTTAATATAAGCTACGAATCAACCTAACCACTTGTTATCAGCGATATACGCCAACAGTAGAACAAATAGAAGAGTGATGCTATTACAAGTGAATGTAATATGTCATACTCAGTTTTCATTTTCTTATAATGTCACGCTTTGCAAGGTTAAATACAAGATCACTAGGATCACGCTGACAAAGAAACTGTGATATTTATAGATTTGTATATGCGTACTTACATATATGGCCATTATAAGATAGTTCTGGGTAGAACGTTATTTACAAAGGCTTGCCGACACAAAATATGAACTATTTGCTCATTATACACAATTATAGTATGCACATTATGGAAATATGCAAATACTATTGTAAACTTCTCACAGCTGCTAAAAGAAAGAAGAGAATGCAAAAATAGCATGAAAAAGCAGGGCTTTGCATATCCCAGCAGTGGTTTATTTGGAGCCATTGTGATAATACGCCATTATTATCAGTATAGTAAATATTGAGTTCATGGAAAGCCCCGTATGAATATTTCATAATTACTGCACCTGCAGAGTAGTCTTCCTGGGATGATTTAAGGTAATGCAAAATTGCATGCATTCCTCCCAATGGAAGCGTAATTACTGTGGGCAAACATTCTCATAGGCTTTATATAACTGCAGTTTATAGACAATAAAACAAATAGAAAGCTATTAAAGTGGCTCGCAATACTACATTTTAATCAACCGATCATAAAATTATGTTGAAACTGCTGTGATGTTACTAAGATGTTATAGCAACTGATAAGCAAAACTGACCATTCAGCTTAACAATTATGTGTAATAGGATTTGCAGCTAACATCAGATGTTATTGCTTATTTGGTATATTTTCAGGATCTTTGTTCTCCTTACACCTACAACAAGATTCCCAGTGTAGTTTTGGGAGAGTGATGGATGACGGAGGTCAGAAGCATCTTGGAAATGTCATGGAGCTGGGGCTAGAAATGTGAAAGCTCCTGGCACATAATAAGCAACATTCAGCTTGTTTTCAGATGTCAGTAAAAAACAGGACAGTGTTATTTATCAAAACAAGTGATGTACAAATCAAAACAGGTATCCTAGTCACATTCCCTCAGTAGTCAGAAGTAAAGTGAGAAGTTTTCGTCCATGTTGCATAATCTTACATAATCTTTGAAGCATATTCACATTATGAGGTGTATCTATAAAAATGCATGAACTATAGAAGGTGACTGCCACACTTCACCGGTAAAACAATCTGAAATAGCTTTTATTTTTATTATGACATTCACTATAAATGGAAAAGCGTCCGTTTCTTATGTTGTCACGTTATTACTGCATTGCCAGATTTAGTGAATTGCTGTAGAATTCATGCATATAACACCCCAATTTCTGCAGATTAATTCTCTTTCTGTATATACTGTATATTGCTCCTCTCAATTTTGTAAAGTGCTGCACAAACTATTGGTGGCTATAGAAATCCTGTATAATAATAATAATAATAATATAGAGCTATTGAATATATATTACATAAAAATATGTACATAGTGTATACATACATATATATACACACACACGCACACATATATACTATATATTTTGTAAGTGTACTATGAAGGAATGATTAACTGTCAATGTTTGACGTAGCCAAAATACTGATCTAATGTAATGGGCACGACTTGCATATTATAAATAATGTATCCCATACTCATCTAGGCCATGTGAGAATTCCATGACCTAAAAGCACTTCACCCAGGCCCTTCTGTGTCTTGTCTGGGCTTGGAATGCCTCCATCATCTCTGCATTACCATGTACATATGATTTGTCTATCTATCATCTATATTACCATTACTATATTGACATGCAGTCCTACCATTGAGTTGTCTGTAGACTATATCCTCTAAAAGGGAAAGTCTTTTCAGAACTGCCTCTTGAATAGGGCTGACCCCATGGCTTGTCAGGTTGGTCACCTCCGCCCTTGGATGGACCTCATGGAAGGTCTCCCCACCTTTCACAGTAATTGGTCTACACTTGGCCAGAAACAGCACAAATCCAGCAACAGCAATCAAGTTCAACACCAGCAAGATTTTAACTCTTCTCAGAGAAGCCATCAAACTCCACAATCTCGACTCTTTAGTGTATCCTGGAATATGTAAGATTTCTTAATGTTTTGCCAATGTCTCTGCTGATCCGGAGACAGGTCACCATCCCTGTGGGTGTGAACTACAACCAAGGAAGAAAGGGAACCAGTGACAGCTGAAACTCCCCAACACTACTGATGTCAATGGTGGGAAGAAACACCATCTGACAGACGGGACCGACTTCAGATTTGGAATCCAAGCTGACCAGCCAATCAGCGTGCTGGAAGCAGGAGCTGGTGCCTGTAAAAACATTTGTAGAGGACCATCTGTACCCCCAACATGTTCAAGACCAGATACAATGAAAGTTTACAAACTGGGTGACAATTGGAACCCCTCCTGCGTACACAGCTAGTGCCCCATTCCACGTCTTCTATCTGGATGATGGATCAAAGCCAATCAGTATTCCACAGGGGATCGTGGCCACCGTTGCCTATATTCGTCGGGTCCAGGAATTGCACCAGAGATTTGAATTATTTACTTGTAGGGTCCATTAAGAGAGCAGCCAATAGACTAGACTGCACTCCGGTAACATTGAGTGCCATGCAGCAGCGATCAAAGACGATGTCAGCGCAGCTGTGGGTAGAAATTCTCATGGTAGAGAGATGGCAAGCACAAGCCGTCCGCATCCCCCCATGCACACCGCGGACAGATCTATTAGCGGCTAAAGTTTGTCATTAGCCGCGGCCAGGCGAATGTGACCGGATCAAGTGTTCTCGCCTAGGAAGGATTCTTTTGCAGCGACGGCTTTGGCAGAGGACACATAACCTCTAGTCAGCGTGATCATCAGGCAGAGATCTCAGCAGAAATCTTCATCATTCACAACACACAACGACAAGTGTGAATGTGGGAAGTGAGGATTGCAGGGGGAAATTGACAATGCGGCAAAGCTCGCTGACCGCACTTCCCTGAAACTGAACTCCTGATTCCTTCTCTTCCCCCCTCCTTCTCCTAAGCAGAGCCCGTGGTCTTCTTCAGCTGATCTTCTTCACATCCCTGTGTTGTCAGCTCAGCAGCAGTACTCTTCCCCTGTCAGTGTGCAAGCCTTAGGAAGCCTGGCAGAGGCAGCAGGCTCAGGTGATGATGGGAGTGCTGCTTCTAGTCTGCTGCTGCTATTGGAAGAAGCTGCTCTCTCCTGTGCTCCCATTTCTCTTAGCTGGTTATTTCTGTGCTGAGACATCCTCCCGTGTGCTGCCTGAATCCCCGTTTACATGCCTACTAAAAGGCTGCAAGGAAATTGTGGTCTGGATAAATGGATCTGCAGCTGGAGACCATTCACAGCTCACAACAAGGCATTATTGTCCTGAATGGCAGTGGTCATTTAACAGACAGATCTGTGAAGTGCTGCTTTAAAAAAATTATATATATATATTTTTTTATAGATAGAAGCAATCACATGTCGTGCAGCGGAGATAAGTCAACGCATCAATGTTTCAATAAAGCTCAGTCCATCTTTATCAATTTATTTACCTATTCTTGCTTAAGACAGACTGAGTTCCATGGAAACGACAGTAAAACGCTGATGCTTTGACTTACCTCTGCTACAAGACCTGAGATTGCCTCTATATCTACTTAGATTTGTTTAGACATTTTTGTAGATGAGCACCTGGGCGGTGCGGTGGCTACCCCTAGAATTATATAGATATATAGAAATAGATAGATAGATACATAGATAGATAGATAGATAGATAGATACAGTAGAATATTTCAAGAGGGCAGCACTCTTCTGATTGTTAAAGGTGCACACAACAAGGACCTGTCTAGATATAACCAAAAGGTAACGGTTGCAGCACTCAAATTTCTTTTTTTTTTTTAAATAATCCATACAAAAAGCTCACCTATACATGCCCAGGCAGCCAATAAATAAACCCAAGGAAGGGCTGTTACTAGCCTAAAACTGTTGTATGTATTTGCAACATGTTTATTGGCTACCTGGGCATGACCTAGGTAAGCTCTATGGATAGATTATTTTGGAACATTTGAATTGCTGCATCCTTTGCCCCAAATATATCTATCTATACACCCACTATATTGCCAAAAGTATTGGGACACCCCTCAATATCAGGTGTTCCAATCACCTCCATAGCCACAGGTGTATAACATGAAGCACCTAGGCATGCAGACTGTTTCTACAAACATTTGTGAAAGAATGGGTCGCTCTCAGGAGCTCAGTGAATTCAAGCGTGGTACCGTGATAGGTTGCCACCTGTGCAATAAGTCCATCTGTAAAATGTCATTGCTGCTAAATATTCCACGGTCAACTGTTAGTGCTATTATAACAAAGTGGAAGCAACTTGGAACAACAGCAACTCAGCCACGAAGTGGTAGGCCACGTAAAACGACAGAGCGGGGTCAGTACATGCTGAAGTGCACAGTGTGCAGAAGTCGTCAACTGTCTGCAGAGTCAATAGCTACAGACCTCTAAACTTTGTGTGGCCTTCAGATTGTCACAACAACAGTGTGTAGAGAGCTTCATGGAATGGGTTCCCATGGCCAAACAGCTGCATCCAAGCCTTACATCACCTAGTGCAATGCAAAGCATTGGATGCAGTGGTGTGAAGCACGCCGCTACTGGACTCTAGAGGTGCGGAGACATGTTCTCTGGAGTGACAAATCATGCTTCTCTGTCTGGCAATCCAATGGACGTGTCAGGGTTTGGCGGTTGCCAGGAGAACAGTACTTGCCTGAATGAATTGTGCCAAGTGTAAAGTTTGGTGGAGGGGGGATTAAAGTGTGGGGTTGTTTTTCAGGGGGTGGGCTTGGTCCCTTAGTTCCAGTGAAGGGAACTCTTATGGCATCAGCTAGCGGTGTATTTACCTTTGCTGCTGCCCTAGGCAAGGCAGCAACGCTGCCCCCCCCCCCCCTAACGCCTTGTTTGCCTCGCGGCAGATACGCCCCTGGCATCAGCATACCAAGACATTTTGGACAATTTCATGCTCCCAACTTTGTGGGAACAGTTTTGCTATGGCCCCTTCCTGTTCCAACATGACTGCACACCAGTGTACAAAGCAAGATCCATAAAGACATGGATGAGCGAGTAAGGGGTGGAGGAACTTGACTGGCCGTAACAAAGTCCTGACCTCAACCCAACAGAACACCTTTGGGAGGAATTAGAATGGAGACTGCAATCTGCCATAACTTTATGACCACCCGCCTAATATTGAGTAGGTCCCCTTTTGCCACCAGAACAGCCCTGATCCACTGAGGCATGGACTCCACTAGGCTTTTGAAGGTATGCTGTTGTATCTGGCACCATGCTGTCAGTAGCCTTTAAGTCCTGTAAGTTGCAAGGTGAGGCCTCCATGGATCATTCTTGTTCTTCCAGCACATACCACAGCTGGAGATCTTGTGTTCCTCAAACCATTCTTCAGCCATTTTTGCAGTGGGGCAGGGTGCATTATCCTGCTGAAAGAGGCCACTGCCATCAGGGAATACCATTTCCATGAAGGGGTGTACTTGGTCAGCAAAAATGTTTAGATACGTGTCAAAGTAACAATCACATTGAATGGCAGGACTCAAGGTTTCCCAGCAGAACATTGCCCAAAGCATCACACTGCCTCTGCCAGCTTGCCTTCTTACCATAGTACATCCTGGTGCCATCTCTTCCCTAGGTAAGCGACACACATGCATCCAGCCATCCACATGCTGTAATAGAAAACATGATTCATCAGACCAGGCCACCTTCTTCCATTGCTCTGTGGTCCAGTTCTGATGCTCACATGCCCATTTTTGTCACTTCTGGCTGTAGACAAGGGTCAGCATGGGCACCCTGACCAGTTTGCAGCAAAGCAGCCCCATGTGCAACAAACTGTGATGCACTGTGTGTTCAGACACCTTTTTGTTGGCACCAGCATCAACATTTTCAGCAATCTGAGCTACAGTAGCTCCTCTATTGGAATGGACAACACACGTGCATCAAACAGCCCTGGCACCCATGATCCTGTCACTGGTTTTCCTTCATTGGACTACTTTTGGTAGGTCCTGACCACTGAAGACTGGGAACATCCCACAAGAGCAGCAGTTTTGGAGTTGCTCTGACCCAATCGTCTAGGCATCACAATTTGGCCCTTGTCAAAGTCGCTAAAACCCTTACACTTGACCTTTTGTTCTGCCTTAAACACATCAACTTTAGGGACAAAATGTTCACTTGCTACCTAATGTATCCCTCCTACTTCCAGGTGCCATTATAAAAAGATAATCAATGTTGTTCGCTTCACCTCTCAGTGGATTATGGATGATCGGTGTATATATCCAGACTGGGTGAGCTGCATGTATTTTCCTGCAAATGTGAGGCCATTGTTGCCTACCACCAGCATATTCCACTCCACCACCCAATAAGATTCCAATAAGTGTGGCATTCCTCAGTTGCTCAGTACGCATTTATTTCACTGGAAAACAAAACATTAGCAAATTCTAAGATGAAGACAGTTTCAAGTGTCTTGTCCCTTCATCATGTTGAAGGACGGGGATGACCAAAATAGTTTTCATCTTTGTATTTAACAATGTACCATTTTCCAGTAGAATAAAATCATATTAAGAAACGAAGGAGTGCCGTGTTTATTGGAAATCTATATACATAGCCAGGGCTTGACAAATTTTAGGGTGTCTCACCAGTCAGCATGACCGGATTATAGCCTTGCAATTTATGTTAACATTTTTTGGGGACAGATAGAGCTTTCTTTTGGAGGTATATAATCACCTTGGGGGCGGTTGTTATTTTACTATATAAAGTACCATAAATGTAAAAAAAAAGAAAAAACATAAAAGGGCTCTGCTGCAGTTCTCCATCAGGTCCACCACTACTGATTGACTGCAGCAGAGGGCGGGTGCAATGCTAGTTTGCTATTGGCTATTGCAAATTGAAATAGCCAATAGGAATCTCGCAATGCATTCCTATGGCCAAAAATTGTTTATTTCTATTCTGACACGGATCCGTGTCAGAATAAAGAAAAAAAATGGCTCGACTGAGTCACTCACTCAGCCAAGTTTGGGAGCTGTACGAGCTATAGTGAATAGCCCGTGCAGCAGCTCTTTGGTTCTACTGAACTGAAGGGGTCCTGGGGCCGAAGCTAGCCGAAGGATCAGCTGAAGCTACGGCTAGATCCTTTGGCAGCTTAGTGAATAGACCCCAGTGTTTCTCTACAAGGAAGAACTAGTTTAAGTATGAACCCAAAAAATTAAGTAAGCAAATCATTGACCAAAAATGCTGTACTGCGCTTTTTGTAAACTGTTATAAATAAAAATATGACTATATAAAATATTATTATCTTTTTTAATGTATTTCATCTATTTTGCTTATTTACATAGCACTGACACTTTTCCCATAAAGATTAAAAGAGAAC